TAGAATTGGAAAGGGAGAGTGGGGGAAGGCTAAAGCGCATTAGTAGTTAATTTGTTCGTATTCTTTAGGAATTGGGTTTAGTCAAACACATGAAATGAGGAAGCCAAAAGAAAAAATGATCATGAATTAAGTTTTATATACTTTAGCTTAAGTTTATTTCTATTTTTCTTAATCGCTAGGAGAATGTTTAGGCCGACCACACACGGGTAGGCAAGCAGAGAATGTTTAGGCCGACCACACACGGGTAGGCAAGCCTTAGGATTTTGTTAATTTCGAGGCGAGAGGTCGTTCCCTTAGTTAAATTTATCCAGGTAATGCCCCAAAGAATTTGTATATATTTTATCCGGGGTATGCCTCGTAATATCATGTATTTGGAGGCCATGACGAACTTCGTGGGAAAAGTATAGTATATATTAGTATTTAGATTTTTACATTTATTTTCTTCTTTTATTTTCTTTTGGTTATGTGAGGACGACCTCGAGCCTCTATTGTGTTTATTTTTCTTTTCTGTGTTTATACCTCAATTTGAATATTTTAAATGCCAACCTGATCAAGTATGCAACCGTACTAGTTACGGGACTTGGGGAGTGCCTACACCTTCTCCCCGAGTCAAATGAACCCCCTTACCCGAATCTCTGGTGCAGACTTAGTTTGGAGTCCAAAGTGTTTTAAAGAAAAAATTATTTTTTTAACATGGTGACCTGACACACCGAAATCAAAGTCAGGTGGCGACTCTGGGTTATTTCCTTTAGAACACTATCTTTTGTCACTTTCAAAATTGAAAAACCCTTCTGATCTTCATAAAATCTTTTTATCCATTTTTAAGAGGGTTTAGTGAAGTTGGTAAAAAAAAGGGGGGGTGTGACAAGTCCAATACCAATTGATAAGCAAGGAATTAAATATATAAATTGAAGAATAAAGTAAGTCAAACCTGTGTGCAAGCCAAATCTCGACCTCGGGCTATGATAGTCTCGAGGTGGGTTAGTAAGAATAGTGCATTATAAGGCAACTCTGATGAACATTAAGTAAGAAAGTGACGAATGTATATTCTCTTGTCAATGAATCATGTGTTATAAATGAATGGGCTCCCCTCTATATAATATGTGAGTCCTAAATAAAGTACACTTCTAATTATAGTAGGGAATCATATTGGATAGTTGTCTAACCGCCAAGGACTAATCCGTTCCAGAATATACGCCGTGATCTTTGAGCCATTGCAGGAATCTCGCTCTTTCTGTTACTAAATCATAACAGTATTATCTGGAAGTGGGCCTTCTTCCGACCTCAGAAAATGATATCGACCTCGACCTCAATATTGAAAAGGAGCCTCGACCCTGAGCTCGACGTCCTGACCTCTCGACGTGGTATCACATTTTTCATTGAAGAGCGAAATTGGGCACATCATCGGGGGTATGGACCCTTTTCACAGGCGGCGTATCTAATGTGAAGGGGTACGGGCTAGGCATCGTTTTGAAGCCACCCACAGGTAGCACTATTAGGCAGTCTATCAAAACTTCTAGATTGACTAACAATGAGGCCGAGTACGAGGCCATGATTGCAGGTCTCGAGCTAGCTAAAAGCTTGGGGGCAGAAGTCATTGGAGCCAAGTGTAATTCTTTATTGGCGGTGAACCAAGTAAACTAAAGTTTCTAAGTTCGAGATGATAGAATTCAAAGGTATTTGGACAAGCTACAGGTAACTTTGCACCGCTTCAAGGAGTGGACTTTAGGCCACGTACCTCGAGAACAAAATGGTGAGGCCGATGCACTTGCAAATTTGGGATCATCGGTCGAGGAAGACGAGATCATCCCTGGGACTGTCGTTCAACTATCGAGATCTGTGGTCGAGGATGGTCATGCCGAGATAAACTCTACAAGCTTGACCTGGGATTGGAGGAATAAATATATTGAATATTTAAAGAACGGAAAGCTCCCATCGGATCCTAAAGAATCGAGGGCCCTATGAACCAAAGCTGCCAGATTCATATTGGATGAAGATGGAACGTTATACAGAAGGGAGTTCGATGGACCATTGGCGGTATGTTTAGGGTCGGGGACACCGATTATGTTTTACGAGAGGTCCACTAAGGCACTTGTGGGAACCATTCAGGCGCTGAATCCTTGATTCGAAAAATTATTAGAGCAGGGTACTACTAGGATAACATGGAAAAAGACACTAAGGAGTTTGTTCTAAAATGTGATAAATGTCAAAGGTTTGCACCTATGATCTATCAGCCCGAAGAACAACTTCATTCGGTCCTATCCCCATGGCCATTCATGAAATGGGGGATGGATATCGTCGACCCTCTGCCAACGGCCCCAGGTAAAGCTAAATTCATTTTGTTTATGACTGACTACTTTTCTAAATGGGTGGAAGCACATGCTTTCGAGAAAGTCAGAGAAAAAGAGGTTATAAACTTTATGTAGGACCACATCGTGTGTTGATTCGGGATACCTGCCAAAATCGTATATGACAATGGAAAGCAATTCATTGGCAGCAAGGTAACGGAGTTCCTCGATGAATACAAAATAAAAAGGATCTAATCGACGTCGTATCACCCAAGCGGAAATGGACAGGCCGAATCAACGAATAAGACTATCATTCAAAACTTAAAGAAAAGGTTGAGTGACGCTAAGGGGAAATGGAGAGAAGTTCTACCCGAAGTTCTTTGAGCATATCGAACAACATCGAAGTCTAGTACGGGGGCAACCCCATTCTCCTTAGTATATGGCTCCGAGGCCTTAATTCCAATCGAGGTCGCGGAACCTAGTGCCAGATTTCGACATGCAACGGAGGAATCAAATCAAGAGGCTATGAATACTAGCCTCGAACTATTGGATGAAAAACGAGAAGCTGCGCTTATTCGGATGGCTGCACAGAAGCAAAGAATCGAGAGATATTACAATAGAAGAGCCAACCTTCACCACTTCGGGATTGGGGACTTGGTTCTAAGAAAAGTCACCCTCAATACCGAGACCCAAACGAAGGGAAACTAGGCCCAAATTGGGAAGGACCATATCGAGTCCTCGGTGTCATCGGAAAGAGATCTTACAAACTTGGCACAATGGAGGGCGAACAATTGCTAAACAATTGGAATGTATCACTACTCAAATGATATTATTGCTGAGGTATGATTTTCTCCCTTTTCTATTTATATTTGATACTAACTTATTGCATGTGTTCGATCGAGGCGTCGAGAAAACTCTTCAACATGAAGATCTTAGGTTTTAAAGCACGCGTTGCACTCTTTTTCCCTCAGATCGGTTTTTAATCTTTTCAAAAAATACTTTTAAGTTTCAACCTACGGAAAAAAGGTTCAATTTTCCTTTAGTATTTAAAAAAAGACAAATAAATTTAAATATTTAGTATAAAGGAATCCAATTAAAATATAAAATATAAATTATAAATTATATATATCTATNTTATTGTTTACATGATATTTTAAATATATCAAAATACATCATTCAATATGAATTAAAAGTTTACTCTTATCATACTATTCCAAACTTAGGAATATGAGAAAGAAAATAAAAATATGATTGAAATAAAAAAAAAAGAATGGTATGGTAAAACTAAAAAGGAAAAATGAAAAGAGAAAGATTAAATTAATAAAAGATAATTTTAAAAATATAAATTTATTGTAAGGTTATTTTTGTCGTGAACAAATTAATTTTCTACTTTTGCTTTTTTGGAAGAAGCTCGAATTTATAGATTCTCCCCAAAAGCAGAAAACTGCTTCTGTTGCTGTTCAAAAATATTTTTTTTGTCTTGGCCAAACAGTTTAAATTTTCCAAAAATCTTTTATAATAAAGAAAAGTATTTTTAGTCTCCCAAAAGCTTGGCCATACATGTTCTAAGTTCGTTGGGAAATCATCGGAGACTCTCAGTCTACTTGTGTGAGTTTATACTTCTGCATAGTTCAGATTATCAATTCATTTAGAATTCTTATATATATTCTCTTCTTTTTTTTACATGCGTTCAACTATGAGTTGGGAAAAAAGAAACACATATTCATCGATCAAATCATGATATTTACTCCATATTTGATATAGATCTTTTCATACCATCAAAGGATGTGATGCAGTGGATGAAGCTGCTCCTTTCTTAACCAGAGGTCTCGAGTTCGAGCCCTACGTATGGAAAAATCATTGATAGGTAGTGCTACCCCCGAATAGGACCCTACCCGGTGCGAATCCGGATATAGTCAGGCTCCAATGAGGGTACCAAATATATAGTCAGGCTCCAATGCGGGTACCGAATACCGAATGGAAAACCAAAAAAAAAATCTTTACATAACTGATTGATTATGTGATCCTTTCGCTCTTCCACTGAAATACTTTGAAGGTTGCTTTGAGTAATCCTTTATTTCTTAAAGAAAAATAATGGAATAATGACACTGTATAACTACTGAATAATTTTAAGACAGCCTTACAGGAGACATTGGATGTATCTAATTAATCTAAGACAGTAAAAATCTATTTTCATTTAAAAATAAAATAAAATTACTAGCAGATGTTAAAATTGACAACCTAAAATCCAAAGATGTCACATCTACAAAACAAACATTACAGTTGCAACATATTTTATTTGTATGATTAGTTTTCTAATAAAGCCAGAAGTATTTTCTAGTCGCAGAAGTTCGACATTGTCAATTTTCTTGTGCGTTAATTTCTTGGTATCTTTACCCCATTATATTCTATGGTTTGGATTTACATTACCACTACTATAATAAAAAATCATGTTGTTGGGCCGGCAAATCGTTCTATAAATAGCAAATCTGTTTTATCAACTCTTGACGACCAAAAAAAAAAAAAAAAANATCATATACGGCAAATAATAATAACAGAAACTAGCAGTTAAAGATGGTAAGGGGAAACATGTTGCAGGAGAAAAAAAAAAAAAAAAATCACCTAAGTTAACAAAATTGTCAAACAACAATGAGCAAGGGAATTAGTTACCTCAGTCTAGTTCATTTTGTTGCTTTCTTGATCCTTATTTTAATGGCCTGTAGTAACACGTTAACTGTTGAAGCTCAAAGGCACAAGAAGCCAGATGGAAAAGAAGGGAAATTTTCACCAGCAGTTTCTGGTCGTAGAAAGGCAATTTTAACGATCAATGACTTTGGAAAAGGTGGTGGGGGAGGGGGTCCATCAGAATGTAGTGGCAAATATTACGATAATTCTATTCCAATTGTGGCTTTATCAACTGGATGGTACAGTAAAGGGAAAAGATGTTTTGAAAAGATAACAATTTATGCAAATGGAAAAAGTACAAAAGCTATGGTTGTTGATGAATGTGACACAAGTAGAGGGTGTAGAAATAATATTGTTGATGCTTCTGAAGCTGTGTGGAAAGCTTTGGGTGTTCCTAAGAAAGATTGGGGTTGGCTTGAAATATTCTGGTCAGATTAATGAATTTCATCTTTTGTATGGTTATATTTGCAAAGATAAGTCTTCCTCCTTAGCTTTTATTTCAATAATAAACTGATTGCAAGGCTTACTTTGCCTTGTTACGCTATCGCAATAAAAAGGATTTGGCTTATGTACACGACAGTGTAAAGAGTTTTTACATTATTAGTATATCTAATAATAATACTTGTTTTTTCCTGTGTTACTCTCATGGATGTGTATGCAATTGTTTGAACTAAATTTAAAATTATTTATTATCCGGTTATACTGGTTTCTAAATTTGAGCCTATTATCTGATTTCTCTTTTTCAAGATTTTCCAAATGTATATATGCAAATTCGTCCTAGAGTCGCTCCCCTGACAGAAACAGTTATAGGAGCTCTTGTGTCAATCACTTTCATTTCTCTCGTTAGACTGTCTGACTTAAGAAAAGAGTTGCAGTGTTTGCAAGAGAACAGTAATAACTAGAGTAATTCATAAGGCAGACTGATGAAAACTCAATAATATTGGTCCGAGACGAAAAAAAAAAAGATACAATATCACTTGTTTCTATTCACTTGGACATGTTATTTTGACTTAGAAGATGCCTCTATGCTCATATATTCAACAACTCAACATATATAGTGGTTACCAATTACTTAAGTGGACTCCTTCAAATATGTGTTGACCCAATTTGTTTTGCAGTTTCTTTTAATTTCGTTGTTAATCTGACCCACTTTGCCGGTAAGGGTATACAAATCGAACCGAAAAATCACATTAAATCGAAAAGTCAAATCAAATCGATTAAAAAATCAAATTAGGTTTGGTACTGCGTAAAAAAACCGAACCGAACCGATATGTAAATATATAATTTTTATATATACTTTTAAGATTTTTTATAGAAATTTCTTTAAAAAATATCTAGAAATACGATTCTCTTAGGGGATGTAATATTTAGTTAAATATGAAATGCTCCATGTTTATTAACTGTAAATAATGGATTGTATGATTACTTTCTTATCAAGTGTTAGTGAAATGTGTCAATCTTTTTGTTCTTTATATGTCAAGATCTATTAAATTCTTATATCTTTTTAATTTGAATTTGAAATGGTATTTCAATAATTTAAAATTAAATATAACATACCATTATATAGGTTCATATTTATTTTTATGTTTAATTATTAAATTCGTTAATATAAAATTATTGTCGGACGACTAAAAAATACATATCATATGTTTACTAAGAAAATTCTTCCATAAAATATTTTAATATCTCGTATATTGGTTAATATTTTTAGTTTTTAATAAACATATATTACTTATAAAATATTTAATAAAGTAAGATTGAAATAATATTCATATAACAAAAAAATCCGAAAACCTCGAAAAAATCCAATAAAATCGAACCAATCCAAACCGATATAGTTGGTTTAGTTTGATTTTGATAAAATCCGAACCCACCCAGTCCATGTATATCCCTACCGATAATAATTGCAGGATCGAAGCTTTTAACTTTTTATATTTTATTTCTCACTCAATATCGATATTTGCCTCCGGCCTGACTAATCCAGATTGATACCGGAAAGTCACACGAGCCAAAATCTATAGCTTTATTTTATAAACTCAAATAAAAGTACAATTTTTTGGATTTAGAACACTTGTGAAAAGGAAAAAAAAAAAAAAGACGTGATTACTGACACTATGTGTCAGTTAGTTTTTTCAACACAAAAAGTTTAGTTGAATAAGCAGCGAACCAAAATCACGTAAAAACTTATCTGGATCGAGTATTTATACCAAATAAATATTCGTATAGATTATTTATATCAAATTAATATATACATGATATATGTTTGCACAAACATTGAATCATGATAATTAAGGTAACAACATAAACACCTGTGAGTAAGTTTTCTCCAAGTCAGTTGCTAATGCATGCTGTTCGGATCTACATATTTTCTCATTTTCTGCAATATATCATTTAGAAAATTCTATAGTTTTCCAAAAGGTATAGTTTGCCTCTTGAAAAGGAGGATTGATTAAAATATGTGTTATTACCGGTGTTGTTGTCTATTCAGACGCAGAGGCGTATTTAGGATTTTAAAAGTATGAATGCATTATACTACCGTCTAGCTTGACTCCATCAAAATTTTGCTATGACAACAACTTATCGAACAAATCATGTTTTATACTATTATCACAAGGAAATATTATTCAGTTTACAATTGTTCCTAACAAATTTTATACCTTAAAAATGATTAATAATAGCATAGTTATTTGAAGAAGACTCATCACAAGCCAAAATTTATTTTGAAGAAAAATATAGACGAGAGAAATGATAAAGAAATTAGTTAGAAGATGATTGTTGTTCGTAAAAAATTGAGATAGCAAGAGAGGTAAGGAGGAGATGTGAATTTTAATTTTTTAGGAATTTTAAAACTTAAGAATGAACCAAAAAAGAAAAGAAAAAAGGGAGAAAAGAATAAACATAAAATAAAGAAAAGATAAAACAATAAAAGAAGAACAACAAAATGAAACCAAAAAAGAAAAGAAGGAAAAGGAAGACAAGAAACAGAAAAAGAAAAGACAAAGAGTATGAGGGAAATAGGGGAGAGGGGATTCGAACCCCTAACCTGGACTATCACAGGAGCACACAGCCACAAACGGACCTAACTGACATCTTGAGCATTGGTTCCCCAAAATCTAATATGAGATAAATTACAGTGCTATATGCACTTTAGGGAGGGGAGAATGGATTCACGTGAATCCATACCACTCCCTGTAAATCCGCCCCTACCGGCGATATGATTTGTATAAAACTTTAGTGCACGCGCAACCTTTAATTCATGGATTCATCACTTGTGTTAATCGTTTCTACATTGGAAAATAATCGAATATTTATTAATAAAATCATGATTTGCTCTATAATTTGATTTGAGAACCGATCGATTAATCGGGTAATCATTTAATTTTGCTCTTCAATAGACTGATATCTTAAGAAAAAGTTGACTTTTAGGTCTAAAATACTTCGGAGGTAACTTCAAATAATAGTTTCTTTTTAGATAAAGAGACCTTTAAGACAACCTCGCATGCAGTGACGCACATAAAATTTTTGGTAAGCAATGTCAATATTTGAAAAAAAATAAACAAACGAATAAATCACTATAATATCAAGTGGTGTCATTTTTTATATTTATCCTAATATTTTATTTTGTATACTATCTATATATACATATTCGACGAAGAGGTATCACGTGACACCACTTGCCACAGGATGTATCCGCGGCTGCTCGCATGAGCCATAAAACACTAAACGTAACTAGCCATCAAAGATATAGGGGTAAAAATTCTACTTTCCTTTTTTAGAGCAAAAAGAAATTACTACATGTAAAAATTAACCACCTAAAATTTCGAAGATGTCACATCTACAATACAAACAATACAGTCGCAACATATTTTATTTGTACCTATCAAGCCAAAATTTCCTAGTCGCAGACATTGTTATTTTCGCAGACATTGTTAATTAGTATTTTTACCTCATTGTGTTCCACGGTTTGGATTTACATGACCACCACTATAGTAAAAATCATGTTGTTGGGCCGGCAAAACGTTCTATAAATAGCAAAGCTATTATATCAGCTCTTCACCACAAAGAAAAAACACTAAGTTAAACAATATTTTCAAACATTTAGGATGAAACTAAGTGCAACAATGAACATGGGAACTTACTTTACCCTACTTCATTTTATTGCTTTCTTGATCCTTATTTTCATGGCTTGTAGTAACACATTAATTGTTGAAGCTCAAAGACACAGGGCACCAGATGTCAAAAAAGGGAAATTTTCACCAGCAGTTTCTGGTCACAAAAAGGCTATTTTAACGATCAATGACTTTCGAAAAGGTGGTGGTGGAGGGGATCCGTCAGAATGTAGTGGCAAATATTACGATAATTCTATTCCAATTGTAGCTTTATCAACTGGATGGTACAGTAAAGGGAAAAGATGTTTTGAAAAAATTACAATTTATGCAAATGGAAAGAGTACAAAAGCTGTGGTTGTGGATGAATGTAACACAAGTAAAGGGTGTAGAAATAACATTGTTGATGCTTCTGAAGCTGTGTGGAAAGCTTTAGGTGTGCCTAAGAAAGATTGGGGTTGGCTTGAAATCTTCTGGTCTGATTAATCAATTTGATTTCAATGGTTTTCTTGGTATGGCTTTCATTTCAATAAGTATCTGAAATAAACTGATAGCAAGGCTCATGTGGCTGCCTTAATCATGCTATCACAATAATAATAACAGTTACCTGTTGTTATCTTTTATGCGACTTAGTATGTAAAGGTTCTTTTGCACTGATCGTGTAAAGAAGTTAAACTCGAATAATAGTACTTGCTCCTTTTGTTGCTTCTTGGTTGAAAGATTATGGATTTGTAAGCAGCTGTTTGAACTAAATTTTACATTAGTTATATGCTTATACTGGCTTCTTTGATCTAGGGGTGTGCAGGTTGGACCGACTTATAGCGGGTCATAATGGGTAGAGCTAATAACTTGGTATTTGACCCGCCCAAAAGTTACTTGGCTAAGATGAGATGTGTCTATAATAAAGACTATAATACTTGTCATTGGAAATGTATTCAATATTGAAATTATACAAGCAACTGAACAAAGTAGTGGCAAAACAAGAAGCAAATTACATCAACACAGAACTTATTCACTATAGTAGTCTCTCATTATTTCTAGTAGAGGAATGCAGATGCAGATCAATCCAGAGCTTAAGCAACACCCAAAAGTTTCTTGATATCCTTCTGCAAAAGTAAAGGCAGACACATTCATTAGTTACACTCTTAACTAAGAACAACTATAGGAGAGGAAACTGGTGGGATTCTTACCTCCATGCTAGCTGGAGTAGTGGTTGGAGAGTAGCGATCGACGACGTTTCCTTCTTTGTCAACAAGGAATTTGGAGAAGTTCCACTTGATACTATCTCCAAAGAACCCACCTTTGCTTGATTTCAAGAACTTATACAGTGGAGCAGCATTATCACCATTCACATCAACCTAAATCATTAAGCTAAGGAGTTAATACATACTACTTGTTTCTACTTTTTTCCGATCTAGGAACTTGTAGCATTCTTGAATGAGGATATGTGCGACACAGATATGGAAAAATGAAATGATATGCATGACTAGAAGAAAAAAGTATTAGTGCCGTTGCAACCTTATCGAATATTGGGTACTCGGCCTTGAAGCGAGTGCAAACCATGTTCTGGATCTCTTCAATGCTTCCAGGCTCCTGCCCACCGAACTGGTTGCAAGGGAATGCAAGAATCTCCAAACCTATGTAACATGGTGAGGATATATCAACACGCTGAACTTAAACATAAGTTAAGTATTTTATTAAGTTTTCTTTGCAACGTGAAGGGGGTCTGGATAAGTGCCTCCATTGCTTCGGACAAGATCAAGAAGAGTGTTTTCTGACATTAGTTCGTTCGATCAGCATCAAATTTAGGAGAACTGAAAACAAACCTTGATCCTTGTACTTCTTGTATATCTCGGTCAAGTCAGTATAGTTCGAATTTGTCAGACCACTGCAGCAGAAGATGAAATCAATTGATGCTTGTCAGCATATGTTAAACATCATAACAGAATGATATCATAACTATAATGAATACTCTTTCCAACTATTCACAGTAGATTTCACCATAAGACTTAACTACGAAGAAATAAACAGAACATTTAATCTGAAGCTGCACATCAACTTGTTTTTACTCCAGTACTTATCAGATTTCATTAAACCAAGCAAAGTAAGAATGTGTATGTCTCCCATCAGAAAATCGATCAATAACCCTCTCAAAATACAGCAGATCAATGTCAGATGCTCATATCCAATCTAGAAATGCTCCATCACCACGTTATACCAATCAGTTTTTATAGTTGGCCACATACAAAATATTTTCAGCATGGGGAAAGGAATGCCTTATCCAATAAGATCGTCTAGGATGATAAGCTTTTAGTTTAATTTCTCAGAGCAGACGTCTGAGAAAAGGCTGAGTTGATGTTCAATTGAACTCTGAAAAAGCAGACCACTCTAAGTTGATACGACAGCAGACATATGGAATTATAACAGATTACAGATCCACAAAATGCGCTAATCAACAGAATGCTACTCATACACAATCAGAATTTTGAGTATCAAACCACATTTACAAATAAGTAGAAGTTAAATAATTGGTATGCATTCTTTCACTTGATCGATTAAAGACCAATTCCAATGTGGACATCAGCTCGGGATACTTTCAGTCAATTCCATGGAAACCAACACGTGGGAACCTTACAATTACAAGGAGCAAATAAAACCATAGAAAGAGGTCTCAAACATATAATGAATAAGAAAAAAAATGAAGCTAATACATACCACTGTGATGCAACATTGACAATAATAAGGACCTTTCCCTTGTAAATGCTGAGATCAACATCATTACCCTTAGCATCCTGTAAAAATCAAGTGAAGTTCAGTACTACAAAATCTTATCAAGATTATATCTTAAACTGTATTATACTGAGGGAAAAAAAAATACTCTCAACCTTAGTGTTATATAAATGAAAAAACACTTAAAACCAATTTTTTTACTATAAAGAAACGAAAACGAACCCTAAGTTTGGATAACAAATACTGCAACAGGCCTTAGTTTGCTGCTAGCTCTAAATGGATACCATATAACACAAGTCCACACCTCTAAAAGGGTCGCTGTGCACTAAGCTCCTTCTGTATGCGGGGTCCGAAGTCGTGGAAGGGCTGGACCACAAGGGTCCATTCTACGCAACCTTAACCTAATGCAAGAGGCTTTTCCACGGCTCCAACCCGTGAGCTCCTGGTCCGGCTCCAGGTCGACAACAACTTCACCAGTTATGCTCCCCTTCTAAGTCTACACCTTCTACACTGACAGCAACTTCACCAGTTATGCTCCCCTTCTAAGTCTACACCTTCTACTTATCCTTTTCTTTGATGACCGAAAAATCCTCGAGGGTTAGTTCTAACTGCTCACGGTTCGAAATTCAATGGATCCTCTCCATTGATTTGTTCGCACATGTGGCGTGCGCCTAACCCATACATCACAAGTTATCTCTGACCATTATCTTTTTTCCAAGGTTTGAAGGTTCTCAACCTTATTCATTTAACAAGTTATCCCAACTACCTATACAACAAAGACGCTCTCTTTACATCAAACTCATAAACGAATAAAAAAATGAACTATGCCTCAGAACTCAAAACCCCTAATTCATAGACCAAAAAATTAAACAAAAGCATAAATGAAAACAAAAATGAACAACCTTTACACAAAAGAAACAAAAATGAATAATCTTTCTCATATTTTTCTTATGGCGATAATTCCTTTCTGTACAAAAAATGTCCGAGTACTTACAACCCGAGAAAATGACACCACATAACTCAATTTTTCTAATTCAGAGACTAATAAAACAAACAGAAACAAGATTTCTATTTATTAATTTTTTTTTAGGGAAAACCCCAAAAATATAACAAAGTAAAACTGCTGACCTTGACAGTGAAGTCATAAATAGATTGAGGCTTGCTGGATTGACTGGCCATGGTACTATAATCTGATCTTAAACAAAACAACTCAAATCTCTTAGCTGAAACAATAGAATTGGAAAGAACTGTTTGGATCGGCTGAATAGATACAGAATTGAAATGGGTTGGCTTTAGAATGGAAGAAAATTGCCTAAGGAAATTGAGATTTTTTCTTGGTATGAGAACACGAGTTACAGAACAAAGCATTTAGCGTATATGAATTTATAGATTTTTCAGAAGATGCTTTCTAAGGTCAAATATCTTAAATTTAAAACCGTGTGTGAACATAGCATACAGAGATAAGGACACGGTTCGACACGTGGCACGAGAATAAAGTGACACGTTTCACTAGCAGAAAGTGACACGCGGAAAGGTATAAGGTGAACACGTTCGTCATTGGACTTTCATATTCATATAATAATAAAATATATTGATATTGATTGTCAAGATCAATTAATCAGACCTCAATCCCTAAGAAAATGATTTAATGAATATCCAATATTTTGATTCTGTTTACTGGATAGTATTAATTTGTTTAATTAAAAAATGAGTTTCTAAAATTACAGCTGTATCTCGAAAAAAAATAAGTTATAACAGTCAAACCTTATATTTACTGTTGTACTAACATAAGCAACTAAAATTACTCAATTTAGACATACAAATTTCTAAACATACTTTAGTTTTCTTATATTCTCTTATAATACTGAATTTAGATATTATTTTATATATCAAGGAGATTTAATATTTCATATAAATCCAACTTTTCGGCATGTGTATATATATATATATATATATATATATATATATATATATATATATATAATTTTTAGAAACTATTATTTATATGTTTAGTGTATCTTTACCCCCATAAATTGGCATCATATGACGCCACAATTTTTTTTTGTTATTGTTGCGCTTATACAACAACAACAATCCAGTAAAATTTTACAGATAATGAATTTGGATAAGATAGTGTGTACATAAACCTCATCCTTATCTCGATGGAATAGAAATGATGTTTCCGGTAGATCCTGTACTTATAGATTGGTGTATTTTGGTAGAATATGATCAAATTATTTCAAGTAACTTTGGCTAATTACATTTACGGTCGAGATCTTTTATTCAAAATGGTAGAGAGAAATGAAATGGTAATAATAATGGAGGTAATAGTGTGAAATAATGTTTTTCTCGTGGCGTTTGTGGCTCGTTATCTAGATGTTTTTTTTCCTTCTTTTTTCTTTTTATTAACTCACGTAAGCAATGATGTGAAGGTATATGCTTTGAACTTGTATCTGAAAATAAAATGTTCTGCGCTGGGGCCTACATAAAATAATCCAATTAACTTCATATGTTATTGTCAAAGTTCTACTGAAATTTAAAAATAGTCAGATTTACAAGTGGTCATTCAAAAATAGTCACAGTTTCAAAAGTAATCGAAATTTATCCACTTTTCATATAAAGATAAATTCAAACGAAAAATTTATCGGAAAAATATATGAAAATTTATCCACTTTTTCCAGTATAAGAAGTCATTCAAAAATAGTCACAGTTCAAAATATGGAAAAATACTCCAGCATAATATACTGGAGTTCCAGTATAATTTATCGGTCCAGCATAATATATTGGAGTTTGGAGCACCGGTGCTCCAGTCTCTAGTATATTATACTGGAGCCAGAAAAGTATATCGATCCAGCATAATATGCTGGAAGTTCATACACAGTTGCACCGAACTCCAGTATATTATGCTGGACCGGTCTATGTTGCAGCAAAATAGTGGCTATGTTTCAATAACTTGGCAAACACTGACTATTTTTGAATGACCAGTCTGAAAACTGGCTAGACCATGCTATTTTTGTTTTGGGCCAAAAGTATCTTTACTAAAAGTTAAAGTATTCGATCAAGTTTTTCGAAGGAAAAAAAAGTAAAAGTTTACATGTACCCTTCGTTATATTATTGGGTTATCCATACCCTTACCGTCATACTTTAGAACAAAAATAGGATGAAGTGCCACATGGCAGCGCCAGATTAAAATGACCAATTTCTTTTTTTTTACCCAATCCATTTTACAAAAAACCCACAACCCAAACCATATTTTCAGTTTTCAGTTTTTTAAAGAATTTTCTTTTTGTAAAATTTAGAAAAAATTGTCAAA